TATGAATATAATTACCTTCATAAATATGTCCAGGTCTTCATCAGGTTTTATTCCAGCCATCTTTTCTCTTCTTGCAAGTTCCAAAAGCATATCTTTCGCAAGTACTATAAATTAGAAACTACGGAAGCATAAATTATTTTGATAACTGCAACTTTATGATGCTTACCGTATTTAAATCCAACACCTTGACAGCGACCTGCAAACTCAAGAGTTTCTCGCACTGTCATCTCTGCCACATGCCAGTCCTGTTGGCTGACATAAGCAGATGTCCTTGGAGGAACAAACTCACTTAAACTATGTCCATTGTATGTGATTCTCCCTGATGTCTTCAAAATATTTGAGATATAAATAAGATGTGAATGAGCAGTTCAAGGAAATACCATAAAGTTTAACACGTAGCCAACTGAATCATCAATAGTTCTTAGTTTAATAGTGTTGGCAATCTGTAAATGACATTTTAAATAGTTGCAAGGCCTGAAAGGACAATTAGATTCATTGGATATAGTGAGAAAGGATATTGACGGAGTCTGTTAAAGCTCATAAATTCATCAACAAGGATCACCATGCCTGATTTGGAAACATAATTCTGGTATCATCATCTGATTAATTCCAAGACTATATGGTAGCTTATTCTCCAGTTTGGAGGTCAAAAGCAACGCCTTGAATGGCTTTTTTCATGTGGGAAGCTGTTAAAGAAAAAATCTTAACTATTGATATGTTGAGAAAAAAGGTATGATGATGGCTAATAGGTGTTACATATGCAAGGCCGAAGAAGAATCATACAACCACTTGTTACTTCATTGTCCTATGGTCTACAGAATTTGGGAGTACGTGTATGGGATTATGGGAATGAAGTGGGCCATAGCGGGTAGTGTTAGCAAGGAGTTTTAGGTGTGGGCTGGCTTATGTAAAAAGAGAAAAGAATTATTCCTTATTCCGATTTCTATTATGTAGGCTGTTTGGAAGGAGAGAAATATTAGGACTTTTGAGGGTATTGAAACAGACATTGTAAATATTAGAAATAAATGATTTCGTATTTTTGATTATATTTTGATTGGTCATGACATAATAAATTAGGAAGATATTGGAGCTGTCATGAACCACTTGATCGAATTATAATTTTGTGTTTTCGGAAGGTATCCCCTGAGTACATTTGTGCATAATAATATTTATTTTCTTTTATTTCAAAAAAAAAATGGTAACTTATTCTCCAGAGGATTTTTTTAATCAAAGAATATGATTTGCTCAATGCTTGGGTACAGAACGTGAAACATAGACTAGTACCTGCAGGCCAGGCCCAAGGCGTCCGGCAAGAGCTAAAAGCAACGTTGTCTTTCCAGAACTTGGAGGACCAAGTAGAAGTGTCAATCTAGAAAATAACACTTAAACTTAGAAATTTGGTGGCAAAAACATTGAGTAGTTGAAATTTACCATGTACCTTGAAGGTCTAATAATACCACTGAGGTCATCTAAGATTGTCAACTTGCTTCTCTTCCCTCGGTAAAGCCGCAAGTGCCTTAATAATGCCTGGATAATTTTCTCTCGAGTAAGTTCAAATAAAATGTTATATACCATCAAAATGGTAATCAGTAAATGGAAACTGTGGTGAGCTTACCTCGGAAACATTGAAGATAAAATTAGGAATAGTTGGTAGTGCTCTGCTTCCAACATGAACAAAAGACTCAACTGTCAGATTCTGAAATCGAACTTCAATCTTGGGAAATTCCAAATCTACTCTGCAATGACACGGGTGGAGAGCAATGTTCAGATGAGTGCACTTGTAAGAAACCCAACTGTTATAACCAGTGCCAAACATTCATATAGGTCTCATTTGGGCACAAAATTAATGTTCTCCGGTGTTCTGAATAACTGAAACGTTAACAGTCACCATTTCTAAATTTCTTTTTTTATATTATGCTTTAACACAAATAAAAAGAATCCCCAGTAATCATCTTGTAGATATCAAATCCCAAACCATGGAACGTGAACACTTCTCTTTTTGTTTTAACTAAATTTTGAAATAAATTTCCTGAAATGAAAATTGAAAAGGGGAAACCCCGGGCTCCACTACCTATTTGGATGACTTGTTCCACCAAAAACATCATAAGAATAAAAACTCACAAACTTGAAGGTTAATTAAAAACTCAGCAAGCTTCAGGACTAATTTGTTGCTTTTCAATGTTTTCGGCAAGCGAAAGTAATAAAAAACAGAGTTTTAAAATAAAAGATCGTTTCGTCGGCAGTGAAAAATTAGAATGAAAGAAAGCTTGCTGAGTAAACTAGGCTCGTCCAGTTGATGTTTCAACTTTCAATTGACTTGATTCGCAAGCGGTCAACGACCCCCCATAGATTTCGAAGACAACACCTTCCGTCCCTCCAACACTCGTTATAACCAAGGTGAGAATGGACTTCAAATGCCACTAACGTTCGTGAAATCTCTGAAGAAATTCAAGACTAATGAAAAATGAAAATCTCTATAACGAGAGAAAAACGCCCACAATCCTAACCGATTAAATCGAAATTTGATGCAGACGTTGCATAATAATGACGCAAAAAACATAATAATGACGTTTTAGTTTCTATAAGAAAACCAACGACGCTTTAGTTAAATACTTCTCCACATACATCCAAAATTCAGGCAACCGCGCTTAACAATCCCGGATCCTGATCTCCATTCTTGTCCATATTCTCTCACCATCAGGAAGCAAACAAATGAAAGGAAACAGTGTACGGTAACAACAAAAACCAGTTCGACACGAATCCAGATAATCTCAACCTGGAAAAATAAACGACAAATAAAGACGAAAAGGAGCGGAGAGGGAGAGCTCCAGAAAAGAAGTGATGAATAGAGGATTACGCGTCGAATCTCTTCCTCATGCGATAGAAAAAGCTCTCGGGATCATGATCGACAGAGTTGACAAGTCGGTCAAGGATGACGCGGTGGTCGGGAGCCCGGAGCTCGCTTACGTCCACCTCCTTGAAATCACCAACCATATCCTTGAAAATGCCCCTACGGACACGCGCGTAGGTTGGCAGCCGTTCCAACGCCGCCCATCGCAGCGCCTCCTCGTCCTCTCCTTCCTCCCTAAACGACGTCGACCTCGCGAATACGTTCTCCGCGGAGTTCCACATTGCATCCAAATCTCAAAAACAACTACGAAAACCCTAACAAAAGAAGGATATATCTATATACATAAATCTAGCAGTGGATAGAGAAACGAGAGAGGAGAGGTTGTGAGTGTTGTGTGTGCGTGTTATGTGTATAATGTGCGAGCCACTTTAAGTTCTGTTCATCCAACTTGGTAGTCGAGCTCTACATTAATGGCGCTCTCTCTCTCTCTCTTCCATGCCATTTCTATTCTTCTATTTTTCTCTCTCCACAAAGTGAAGTTGTTTTTTAGCTCTCCTGAGAGAGTCTCTTCTCGTGCTATAATCTGTACGTTAAAGTGTGACCCAGTTCTGTGCAGGGAATGCTCATTAATAGCCGCGGGAAGGACAAAACCGGCGGGTTTTTTCCGAGTCGGTACTTGCGCAAGTATTTAAATATATTAACTCGCCACGATATGTCACAGATCTCATATAACAGGGGTAATATGGTAATTCCGTGTCATAATGTTGACAGGTGTTCTGATCTGGAGGTAGTTGGATTTTGACTCAATACCAGCGAGTGGGTGATATTGTGGGTGCAATTTGAATTGAAACGGTTGAGAAGTGGCACATTTTCATTAATTCCGTTAGAACTTACCACGTTATCTGTTGAAATTTTTATTATAGTTCAATATTTGATTTTCTTATCGTTTAACGATTTATTTCTGTTATGTTTCGCAGTTAAGCAGGTCATGAATAAGAGTCTAAATTTTTCTTAGAACTTAATTTGGCTTATTTAAATTTTTTTAGAGATTAACTGGATCAAAATTTCAATTAAATGAGCAATTATATAAACGGATTAATATATATATATATATATATAAATTTCTACTTGAGTAATATAAGTAAAACATACTGTTTGATTTAGATTAAATTTTAAATTTTAAAATAAAAATAATATTTTCATTTTGAGTCAATTATGTATATAATTTAAGTTAGATATTTTGCAATTTATTCATTAATATATAAGATTACAACAACATGGTACTAAAATTAATGATACAAATAGATTTTATTCAATTATAAATCAAATATATAATTGTAATTAATTTGTACTTATTGTATAACTAATATTTAAGAATTAAATAAAAATAAAATAAATTTAAATCAAACACAACATATAAATAAAATAGAAAATTTCGAATTTATATTTACTTCAAGTAAAATTTATTTTAATTAAACTTTTCTCCGCATCTATTTTTATTTTATTTATTTATTTTATTAAAAATAACATAAAATAACCAAAACAAGTAAAATATTTAAAAAAAAAAAGATTTAAAATTTTATATTTAATTTAATTAAATAAACTTTTATTCTTCTATAACATAATAATGTAAATCTTTTAAAGAATTTTATAAATAATTTATAATTATAAATACAACCTTATTACAGTAATATGCTTCTTTAATCATTTTTTAATTACATATTTTGCAAAATGAAAATTTACATTTTTTACTGCTTGGTAAACTGTGGATGATTTTGAAGGTGAGAGGGACAGGTGAGAAATGAGTAATAAAGGACGAGTAGGAAAGTCAAATGGTGAAGGCAAAAATTGTTTTCTTAGGTGTAGGTAAAAGTTAGAAATTAGACTCTGAAAGTTTTACTAATCTTTAATTGCCTGTCGTTTACCGAATATCGCCCGAGACCATATAGAATTGTTAGAAAGATGTAAGAAAAGTATAACATAACTTTATGTTATGCGCAGAAAAAAAAAACAATTTAATAAATACACTATTTCTAAAAATTTTAATATTTCTCTTATTTTTTTGGTCAATTTAGTATTTGCATTTTAAAAAACGATTTAATTTAATACTTTATCTTGACAAAAATTAACACAATCAACTTAAAATGTTACATGTTAAATTTCTTGATACATTGCACCTTCTTTGTTGATCTAAATGTTATTTAAATATCATATCAGATATCACGTAGTTATTTCTTTTAACTTAAACCAGTGTAAATTGGTCTAAATAAAAAAATAAAATATGCTCAAATACGTTGAAAAACATATTCTCATCATCTTAATAAAGTCTAACGGGCAGATAATGTGTGCTTAGACATGAAGACATATTCATGTCAGATCTTTACACGTGGAATGGTTAAGTTCATTTCGATGGACAGGAATTGTCAAACAATAGATTAAGAGCTTGAAATGCTTTAAAACAGATATTGGAAGGGAGCAACAAAGCAGCAAGGATGATATTTAGACCAGGAGTTATTGTTGTTGCAATTGAAAGACCAGTTGTAACACCCGGACCCAAAATTTTGGCCTAAAATAATTTAATATCAATAAAAATAATAATTAAAATAATTTAGTTTTTAATTTTTTGTGAATTTTTTAAGAAACTTAGGTTTTTAATGCATTTAAAAATATTTTCAAAAATGAGGGTAAAAGTAGAAATAAAGGAGAACTTATTTGAAAAGAAATCTAAAAAACTAGAGAAAAAATGAAATTTATAAAAGTTTGGCCACATGGACCGCCACGTCAGCATTGCGGCTAGTCTCCGTGCGCCGCATGGGAGACACGTGGACACGTGTCTACGCGTGAGGCCACATAGGCAATTCTCGTGCCAGTGGATTCAACGGCCTAGATCGCATCCTACACGCATAGAAGGCCTTGATCTGTTTCCTCTTCAGGTGCGATGGAACGACTGGATTTGATCAGATCATATAGTTTAAATTAATTCCCTAAATAAGAGCGATCCAATGACTGAGGATGAGTCACGTCTCCTCAAATGGACAACCTAGATTTAATGAAGAAGAGTATTTAAACTCCTCTTCACAGGGAACCCTAACCTTAGGTGTTAAAGAGGAGATCGGAGAAGAAGAAGAAGGGCAGCCGGAAAGCGAACTAGTTGCTGAAGAAGGAGACTGGCCACCGTCGCAGCCGCACTGGAGCCACTACCGTGCCGAAAAGGTAAATTTTTTTATCATTCCGCTCGGAATTGAATTTCAAACCTCCTTACACCCATATTGGAGCCAAAAGGACAAAGGGTGAGTTGAAAATTACAAGTGAAGGTCAGCCGAGCCGTCGCGACCACAATCCAAAAACCTCTACGATGAGCCCCTTCTCATTTTTCATTTCCCTCGATTTTTTTGATCGTTGTGTTCCTTATTTCATTTTGTTGCAGGTTAGCCGAATAAAAACCCTGACTGCAAAAGGGGAACAGTGGAGCCGCTGCATCAAAAAACCTCTCCACCGGTAGGGTCTTAGTTTTCATCTTTTTCAGTCGATAGCAGCTCCCTAATCTTGTTTTTTTATCGGTTTTCATACAAAATGGGCTAAAATCAACCAAAATCGATCAAAAAATGGATAGATCGAGAGGAATCACCGCCATGGGTGGCAGAGCTAATGCCAAAGTACGGCAACGCTGCCATGCTGGAACCCTACACCGGCCGAAAAAATTTAAAAATGCTCATTTTGGCCTTTTTAAGGCATTTCGAGATACATGACGTGTGTTTTTTATTTTCGCAGGAAAAACTCATGAAATCTGAGAACAGCCAAGAGGTATAGTGCTTTAAATACCAATCCGATGTAAGAATCTCTCACCCTTTTTTTCCATTACGGTAAATTAAAATCTAATAACTAAAAATGATATGTTTTATAAAAATTAAAAATTTAATTACAGGTCACCAGTGGAGCTGAAAACGGTTAGTGTATAATTGCCCTACATATGTTGTTTATGTTCTCCTATACTGTCTAAATTATTATTTTTTATTTATTTTAATTACTTTCTCGTTCATTGATTACTTGATTGATTTTTCTCACATATCAACTGATTCGAAGCAAATTCCCTAATCACGTTTTCTTAATTTTTGTGTCTTCTATTTGTATGATTTAGTGTTGATCTATAAATATGAAATATTGGTATGTAATTGGTTATTAGTTGATGATATGGATATATGTATGAAAGATTTATCGGATACACTGGGGAAGGGTGTATGGACCCAATGCATAAGAAAAACTCTATCATAGACATTAGCTCAGTCGAACGAGATTGAGAAGTCTTATACCAGAAGGGGTTGGGAGATATAATTCACCCTCATATCGGATGGGATATTGAAGCGGTGGTATGTTGGACACTAATTACCAGACGAGATATGGGAACAACCGGTTAAATGATAAATTGAATATTAGGTCCACGCATATGAGGGATTCCTATGGACCCTCAGAGGTACTGAAAAGCAGGTAAGAAAGTGAGTTACTGGTATTGTTTATTTAAATGTGAAATAAAATGTTATCCTACTTATTGTCTTCATAGGTTGGTTTTGGAAATTCATAAGGATAAGTATGAGAATAATGGTTTTTATGTTAAATGAATTTATTTAAAAAGAGATAATGGCTCTATTGATTATTTACGATTTTTACCCACATTTGATTTTCCGTATTAGTACTAAGCGTAATATTCTTACTGCGTTAGTGCAGTTCATCCCCCTATTTAACTATTTTCATATTAGAAAGACCAAGATTCAGATCATGAGCAGCAAAAAGAATCCCATCAGAGTTTTTTAGTGGAGGTTAACTCCATAGGATCTTTAGAAGTGTGTTCTTTTATTTATTTATTCTGTTAGTGAAAACTTTCTTAAAAGGGCATTCCCGTATCCTTATTGGGTATCTCGATTCATTGTGTAAGGAACGTAAATCCTAAACTCTTAATTGTTTTCACCTTTACAATATATATTTATTTCCTTTAAGTTTTGGGCTTTTACAGTTGGTATCAGAGCCGTATTCCTCATAACTATTTCTTGCACAAAGATTTGAATCATTTAAATATAACCCAATACTCAACCCTTTCTCATGAAATAGAGGTACAAAAATATGAGGAGAGGAAGGTTGCCACTAAACAGAGTAACCCAGGATGGGTCATTTTGAGAGGATGTCGATCAACTCTTCGAGATGCTTGAGAGACTTATCTCTTCCCAGCAAGCTCGGGAAGAGAGGACAGAGCTGTCTGACCCTCCACCATTGCCACAGTATTAGTCGCCCCTGCAACAAGAAGATCTAGTGCCACCCCTATATAACCCTATTCCTCCACTGTATCATCCGATACAACCACAATATAATTCAGTGCCCCCATCGTACAACTAGGTGCCGCCACAAGGCCACCCAACGCCTCCCTAGCATAATCCAGTAGGACTTAATTTCGCTCGTGATGAACTCAAACTACATTGAGAGGTACAAGAGACTTAACTCATCTACCTTTATAGGGGCATCCACTTTGGAAGATACCGAGTAATGTTTAGCAGAGACAGAGAAGACATTCATAACTCTTGGGGTGGTTCCCGAATAGAAGGTAATACTTGCTACCTACAT